TTCCTTATAAGAGTTGCCGTGGTCATCAGGGCAGTGGTGGTGCACGCCTTTAATCCCAGCACTCAGGAGGCAGAGCCAGGAGGATCTCTGTGAGTTCGAGGTCAGCCTGGTCTACAGAGCGAGATCCAGGAGAGGCACCAAAACGACACAGAGAAACCCTATCTCAAAAAACAAAAAAAACAGGAAAGTTGCCATGGTCATGGTGTCTCTTCACAGCAATACAAGCCCTAACTAAGGCAACATATATACACACATATACATATGTACACACATATGTATACAGATCTATATACACATGCATATATACACATACACATATATACACATGTGCTCACATACATTCATAAATACATAGACACACACATATGCATGCATGTATGCATATACACATGTACTGGCTGGCTTTGTGTCACCTTTACAAGCTAGAGTCATCAGAGGAAGGAGCCTCAGCTGAGGAAATGCCTCCATGAGATCCAGCTGTAAGCGTTTTCTCAATTAGTGATCAATGGGGAAGGCCCAGCCCATTGTGGGTGGTGCCATCCCTGGGCTGCTGGTCCTGGGTTCTATAAGAAAGCAGGATGAGCAAGTCACAGGGAGCAAGCCAGTAAGCAGCATCCTCCATGGCCTCTGCATCAGCTCCTGCCTCCAGGTTCCTGCCTCGTGTGAGTTCTTTTATTTTTTTTAAAATTTATTTATTATATATACACACACCAGAAGAGGGTACCAGATCCCATTATAGATGGTTGTAAGTCTCCATGGGGTTGCTGGGAATTGAACTCAGGACTTCTGGAAGAGTAGCCAGTGCTCTTAACCTCTGAACCATCTCTCCAGCCCTTTAAAGGGTTTATTTTATTTTTGTTTTATTTTGTTTTGGTTTTTTTTTTCGAGACAGGGTTTCGATGTGTCTGTCGAACTTTGGAGCCTGTCCTCAGACTTCCTCTGTAGACCAGGCTGGCCTCGAACTCACAGAGATCTGCCTCTCTCTGCCTCCTGAGTGCTGGGATTAAAGGCAAGTGCCACCCTCCCCCATGTGAGTTCTTGTCCCAACTTCCTTCAATGATGAACAGCAATGTGGAAGTGTAAGTTGAATGAACCCTTTCATCCCAACTTGCTTTTTGGTCACGGTGTTTCACTGATGCTGTAGAATAAGCCTTTTGTACACTGTGAATATGTTTTGCTCTCATTGGATTAATAAAGGCCAACTGGTCAATAGCTAGGCAAGAAGAGGTTAGGTGGGAGACCCAGATTGATGATGCTGGGAAGAAGGAGGGCAGAGCCACCAGCCAGATGCAGAGGAAGCAGGAGATGAATATGCTGTGCTAAAAAAAGGTACCACCACATAGTAGAGCACAGATAAGAAATATGGATTAATTTAAGTTGAAAGAGCTAGTTAGTAATAAGCCTAAGCTATCAGCCAAGCATTTATAATTAATAATAAGTCTCTGTGTGGTTATTTTGGGAGCTGGTGGTCCCAATGAAAAACTCCACCTACAATTGAAGCAATGGAAACCCTAACTAAGACAACATACATATACACACATACATACATATGCACACATATACATATACATACACACACAGTGCATATATAACATGCATACATATACACACATTTACATATACATATACACACATACATATATACAGATGCATACATATACCCATACATAATGCTTTTTTTTCAGTACTGGGATGGAGCACAGGGCCTTTGCAGATTCTAGGCACCGTCTTGCTACTGGGTCGCACCCCCAGCTCTGTTTTTGTTTTTATGGGTTTTTTTGAGGCAGAGTCTCACTATGTAGCCCGGCCTGGAACTCTGTGTATAGATCAGGCCAGCTTTAAAAACTCACAGAAATCGCCGGGCGGTGGTGGCGCATGCCTTTAATCCCAGCACTCGGGAGGCAGAGGCAGGCGGATCTCTGTGAGTTCGAGGCCAGCCTGGGCTACAGAGTGAGATCCAGGAAAGGCGCAAAGCTACACAGAGAAACCCTGTCTCGAAAAACCAAAAAAAAAAAAAAAAAAAAACTCACAGAAATCTACCTACCTCTGCAAAGTGTTAAGATTAAAGATGTGTGCTACCATGATAGGCTAAGATTTTACTTTATGTTATTGTATTTCATTTATTTTTATTTGAATTTATTTTTAATTAATTTATTTTTTGTTTGTTTTGTTTTGTTTTCTGAGACAGGTTTTCTCTGTGTAGCCCTGGCTGTCCTGGAACTTGCTCTGTAGATCAGACTGGCCTCAAACTTACAGGAATCCACCTGCCTCTGCCTCTTAAGTGCTGGGATTAAAGGCATGCACCACCTTGCCTGGACTTTTATTTTATTTTATTTTATATTTTTTGAGACAGTCTCCACAGCCCAGGCAGGCCTCGAACTTCTGATCCTTCTACCCCGACAACTTAGTGCTGGGATGATGGATGTGGGCCATCACACTTGCATTATTTAATTTATTTTTTAAATGGCATCTCATTATGTGGTCTAGAGTGGTAGAGAATTCATCTCCTCCTCCCTCAGGATTCCAAGTGCATTATTTTTCTCTTTAGCATTATCACATTTTATTTTATTTTACTTCTGTGGTAAAGATGGAACCAAAGCCGGGCGGTGGTGGTGCACTTTAATCCCAGCACTCGGGAGGCAGAGGCAGGCGGATCTCTGTGAGTTCGAGGCCAGCCTGGACTACCAAGTAAGTTCCAGGAAAGGCGCAAAGCTACACAGAGAAACCCTGTCTCGAAAAACCAAAAAAAAAAAAAAAAAAAAAAAAGATGGAACCAAAGCCCTTGTTGGATGTGTGGCAAGCTTTGACCACTGAAACACACCTCATCCATCAATGAATATTTACTGAGTACTAAGCACTGTTCTATCTGCTGAATCATGCAAAAATACTGATGATTTTCTGGGTTGGGGCATGGCTCCGCCATAAAGTGTCTGCCTAGAATCCCCAGTGAGGGGCTGGGGGTGTGGTCAGGGGTGGAGCCCCGCCTAGAATCCCCAGTGAGGGGCTGGGGGTGTGGTCAGGGGTGGAGCCCCGCCTAGAATCCCCCAGTGAGGGGCTGGGGGCGTGGTCAGGGTGGAGCCCCGTCTAGAATCCCCCAGTGAAGGTCTGGGGGCGTGGTCAGGGTGGAGCCCCGCCTAGAATCCCCAGTGAGGGACTGGGGGCGTGGTCAGGGTGGAGCCCCGCCTAGAATCCCCAGTGAGGGGCTGGGGGCGTGGTCAGGGCGGAGCCCCGCCTAGAATCCCCAGTGAGGGGCTGGGGGCGTGGTCAGGGTGGAGCCCCGGCTAGAATTCCCTAGTGAGTCACTCATCCCCATCATTAATACCAGAGTGGGGGGGAGGGGAGATGGGGAGGAGAGGGGGGAGAGAGAAATGGAGAGGGAGGAGAGGGAGAGGGAGAGAGGAGATGACAGTGTTCTTACACACTGGTAGATAACAACTTAAGGCAGAGTGTGGCAGTCCAAACCTGTTATCCTGGTAGTACTTGGAAGCCTGAGGCAGGGGGATGGTATGTTGGAGTCCATCCTGCATTACATAGTGAGGCAGGTAGAAGGGGAAAACAAACAAACAAACAAAAATGGAGACAGAAGGATTGCCATTTTCAGGCCAACTTGAGCTACACCACGACAGCCTGTCTCAAAACACCTTTTTTTTTTTTTTAAAGCCCATTCAGACTTTTTTTTTTTTTTTTTTTTTTTGGTTTTTCGAGACAGGGTTTCTCTGTGCAGCTTTGCGCCTTTCCTGGGACTCACTTGGTAGCCCAGGCTGGCCTCGAACTCACAGAGATCCGCCTGCCTCTGCCTCCCGAGTGCTGGGATTAAAGGCGTGCACCACCACCGCCCGGCCCATTCAGACTTTTACCACCATGTGACATTGCTCCCTGTCTACCTGTCTGAGAAACGGGAACTGTTGACCTGCTGCAGACTTATTGGGTGGTTTTGGTTTGTTTATTTGGTTGGTTCTTTTGTTTTTTTCGAGACAGGGTTTCTCTGTGTAGCCCAGGCTGTCGGGAACTCACTCTGTAGACCAGGCTGGCCTCGAACTCACAGAGACCTCCCTGCCTCTACCTCCCAGCTAATCTGTCCTTGAAATGAGGTCTCATTAGCTCAGACTGGCCTCAGACTCGCTATGTAGCCTTGCACTCCAGATCATCCTGCCTCCATCTCCTGAAGACTGGGATGACAGGGCATGCTGTCGTCTCCTGCCACGGCGGGCGTGGAACCCAGGGCTTCCTGCACACCAGGACAGTGCTCTCCCAACAGAGTCCATCCAGCCCTGGCCCTCTTGAGACATTTTTAAAGCCCTGTTTTACCTCATGTGCACGAGCATTTGCTTGCACATATGTCTGGTGCCGCACAGAGGCCAGAAGGGGCAGTTGGGTTCCCTGGAACCAGAGTTAGGGGTGGCTGTGAGCCACCATTGTGGGCGCTGGGAATTGAACCCAGGTCCTCTGGAAGAGCAGCTGGTGTTCCTAACCTCTGAGCCGTCTCTCCAGAGCCCCAGCAGGATTTTTTTCCTTTTCTTTGGAGACCAGGTCTCCAAAGCCTAGCCCAGCCTTAAACTCCCCATCCTCCTGCCTCTGCTACTGAGCTTTGGGGATGACAAGTGTCTCCACCACAGCTGGTTCTGTGGGTGCTGGGGTAGACCTCGGAGCTTTGCATGGGTTAGCAGAGCACTCTGCCCACTGGGCGCTGCTCTGTCCAGCCCCAGGGTTAAAGCAGTCACTCCCCTCACGTCTTGCTCCTCAAGTGCCAGCTTGGGTGGCCTCCCTCCCTTCTCACTGTCACCCAAACAGCACCACCCTCCCTGCCGCTGCCCAGGGCGGCCTCGGTGCCCTACCGTGCACATCTGCCAGGCTATCTGGTGCAATAAGGGAGCCACCCAGCAGGTTTTTCCTCTTAGCCTGCTCCGGGGGCCCTGAGCTGTTCTGTCCCCACCTCGCCTGGGCTGGGCATTCCTAGGCTCGCTCACTCAGCTGGCGCGCCTCTGCCAGGCACAGGACACATGCATCAGCACCAGAGCAGAGCAAAGATGCCCAGCGTCTTTGCCTACCAGAGCTCTGAGGTGGATTGGTGCGAGAGCAATTTCCAGCACTCGGAGTTGGTGGCTGAGTTCTACAATACGGTGAGGGCCTGGGCAGGGGCTCTGGGAAGGGTGGGATGAGGTAGGCTTACAACATGCTGGATTAAGACACAGTACCTCCACAGGGAATCTCGTTTGAGCGGTTGGCTGTCTCTGTGTGTGGCCAAGCGGATCAGCTTGTATTCATTCATTCATCCACCTTCATGTAGAACTGAGATCAATGGCAGGTTTTTAGACTAATTTCTGATGGTGCTGTGATGGTGGATGCACTGGCAGCCTTTAGGACTCCCAGAGGAGGCACTTTGAGTCAGTGAGGTTGTCTGGAGGAAGTAAGGATGCCTGTCCATTTTTTTCCCCCCCGAGACAGGGCTTCTCTGTGTAGCTTTGGCACCTGTTCTGGAACTCACTCTGTAGCCCAGGCTGGCCTTGAACTCAGAGATACACCTGCCTCTGCCTCCCAAGTGCTGGGATTAAAGTCATGCACCACCACCGCCTGGCTGGATGCCTGTCCTTTTACCTGCAATCCCCCAGTCAAGGATGATGAATGCATCCCACTTTTCCCCTTTCATGATCCTATTTGAACCACTCCAATTTTTACCTTCCTGTACCTGATGTACCGCAACACAGGGAGTACTCAACTCTCGGTACTTCACACACGAGGATGGTGTTGGAGAAACTTGAAGGATGCAGGCAGGTAGAAGAGGCTACTTGAGCTTGCTGTCACTGCCTGGAACAGAGTTGCTCAGCCGTGGGAAGCATCAGCACTTCCCTTTTCTGGAGACAGGTTCTGGAACATGCAGCCCAGGTTAGCTGCCATGCGTGTCCTATGGCGTTTGGATCTGAACGCTGGGACTGGAAGCTCACACCCACCACACCCAACGCTAGCTTTTACTCAGTGCTTGCTCTGTGCACATGGTACAGACCTTTCACCTCCACAATCTCATCTGATCCACACAGCCTCATGGGGAGACAGGGAGACGCCAACAGGGGTGTCTCATTGTGCAGCAGGTACTTCAGGGGACGGAGCTAGGTTAGGAACGGGCCTCCTACTTAAAGCCAGACTTTGAGCTTCAGCTTGGTAGATCCAAGACACATTTGTGTGTGTGCATGTGTGTGTCTCTGCATGCGTGTGTGTGCATATGTGTGTGTATGTGTGTGTGTGTGTGTGTGTGTGTGTGTGTGTGTGTGTGTGTGTGAGTGTGTGTTTCCTTGCAACAAAAATGCAGGAGGGGCTGGTGAGATGACTCAAGGGGTAAAGGCGATTGCCCACAACCTGACATGCTGAAAGGCGAGAAGGTTGTCATCTCACCTCTGCCCCGCCTAGAATCCCCCAGTGAGGACCTGGGGGCGTGGTCAGGGTGGAGCCCCGCCTAGAATCCCCAGTGAGGGGCTGGGGGCGTGGTCAGGGTGGAGCCCCGCCTAGAATCCCCAGTGAGGTGCTGGGGGCGTGGTCAGGGTGGAGCCCCCACTTAGAATCCCCCAGTGAGAGTCTGGTTTCTGTGTGGTCCGTCTATGGTCCTCAGTTTCCATCTGGTTATTGGACCAGTTTGAAACTACCATTTGGGAGAGGCCAGAGAGGACTGGGTTTCTACAGTTACTCTTTATAATTTCGAGGAAGCCCTTATGATCCAGAAAATTCTCTGGCCGGCTCAGTCCACCTTGATGGGTCCGCCTATAAAAGATGCCTAGAGAGTATTGAGTCAGGTTTGGCTGTGGCTCTGCCTCTCATCCCCAAGTGTCCATTGTGCCTACCCCCAACCCCTCCCCAGCAGCCCTAGTCCACAGCAGTGCCCATCACAACTGGAGGGTCACCACACAGCCCAGGAGAGAGAGAGACTTCACACCCTCAGCCACTGGGACATTTCCACGCGCAGTCCGGGTGTTTCACAAAAAGAGAGTGAAACTTCCCTCAGCATGAATCCGTCTGGCTTTTTGTTCCTTCATTTTGTTTGGGCCTTGAGACCCTCACCCCGCCCGACCTCAACCCTCCAAGTACATTTTTTTTATCAACTTATTCTGTGTGTGGGCGCTCACCTGTGTGGAGGTCTGAGGACCAGACCTAACTGGTGAGAGTTTCTGGCTGTGTGTGAACTGGGTCTTTTTTTTTTTTTCATGTGCATTTGTGTTTTGCCTGTATGTATGTCTGTCTGAAGGTGCCAGATCCCTTGAAACTGGAGTTACAGACAGTTATGAGCTGCCATGTGGGTGTTGGGAATTGAACCTGGGTCCTCTGGAAGAGCAGTCAGTGCTCTTAACTGCTGAGCCAGCTTTCCAGCCCTGAACTGGGTCTTTTTCCAGACTTTACTTCTACTGCACCAAGGCAGAGAGCCCTGGGGAATATGTAAATGAACCTGGATAAGGTTGTAAGCCAATAAAACTTTATTGGCAGTAGCTGGGCAGGCGTGGTGGTGGCCCAGCCTGCCAACCTCAGCAAGGTGAGGCAGGGAGATATTATCAAGAGTTAGGCCACCCTGGCCTGCGTGGTGACTTCCAAACTAGCCTGGGCTACAGTGTGAGGCTGCCAACAGGACAGGGTGGAAACTGAAGGGGGAGGAAGGAAGGAAGGAAGGAAGGAAGGAAGGAAGGAAGGAAGGAAGGAAGAAAACCAATCATGGTGTGCACCAATCATCCCAGCACCCCAGAGACTGAGGCAGGAGGATTATCCTCAGTGTCGCTTCAGCTACTTGGCAAGTTGGAGGCCAGCCTGCCCTGCTGGAGACCCTGTAAAAAAGGGAAAGATAAGTTTGTTTATTTTCAAGACATAGTTCTCTTTATAGTTCTAGCTGTCCTGGAACTCACTTTGTAGGCCAGGCTGGCCTCACACTCCTGCCTCTGCCTCCTGAGTGCTGGGATTAAAGGCATGTGCCACCACTGCCTGCTTTCTTGTCTATTCTTTTTTTTTTTTTTTTGTTTTTGTTTTTTTTGAGACAGGGTTTCTCTGTGTAGCTTTGCGCCTTTCCTAGGACTCACTTGGTAGCCCAGGCTGGCCTCGAACTCACAGAGATCCGCCTGGCTCTGCCTCCCGAGTGCTGGGATTAAAGGCGTGCGCCACCACCGCCCGGCTTCTTGTCTATTCTTAATAATTTTTTTTAGACAAGGTCACTATACATAGCACTGACTGTCCTGAAACATACTATGTAGACCAGGCTGGCCTCATATTCACCAAGAACCGCCCGCCTCTACATACAGAGCGCCAGAATTAAAGGAATGCACCACCATGCCTGCTAAAGAAACTTTTAAATTGCATTTTGCGAAGACTTATTTTCGTCAGGAATGGTAACCAAGCTTTTAATCCCAGCACTTCATAAACAGAGGCAGGTGAAAATCTCTGTGAGTTCAAGGCCAGCCTGGTTTACAAAGGGAGTTCCAGGACAGCCAAGGCTATGTAAAGAAACACACTGTCTCAAAGTAACCAAAAAAATTAAAAGAATTTTTAATTATGTATACATGTGTGTGGGGGCGGTATGTGCATGTGAGTGTGGGTGCCCTTGGAAGCCAGGGGTGTCTGATCCTCCAGAGCTGGACTTATGGTCACCAGCTGCCTGATACTCATGCTGGGAGCGAAACTCAGGTCCTTTGCAAGAGCACTGTTAGTCACACTTTGTGTGTGTGTGTGTGTGTGTGTGTGTGTGTGTGTGTGTGTGAGTGTGTGTGTGTGTGTGTGTGTGTGTGTGTGTGTGTGTGTTGGAACAAGGAGAAGAAACATACACAGAAGCTGAGTGTGTGGCCAAGGTACGAGGTGCCTGATTGCTAACTGAGGAAGGAGGATGCGGGGTACTAGAAATGGTGGCGTTAAGGCTGTGGCGTGGGAAAGCACGACCTGTTGGGAAATGGCTGGTAACGTTGAAGAAGCTGGACCAGGTCATATGAAGATGGAACCAGGGCCAAACCAGAAGCAGCTGGCTGAGGGGATGCACGCCTTATCAGAGATCGTGGGGGAGTTGTGGACCCTGCGGCACAGCATGGCCGCAGCTGGAGTACCTGGATGACGTACGGACACCAGCTGAAAGAGCCAAGGAGGAACTGTGGGGAGGCCCAGAGGTCAAGAGTGGGGAAGAGCTGGCTTCAGTGGGACAGAGGGTGACCTTGGGAGTCACAGCTGTTTGCACCTGTTTGCACGGGCCTGCTGACTTCGGGTTTGCTGAATGCTCAGGGGAGCTCCCAGGCTCCCAGGCTCCCAGGGACTGTATTTCTGTACTTATCTTCAGGTGTGTGTATGTGTGTGTATGTCTATGTGTCTGTGTGAGTGTGTGCTATATGTGTCCAGGAGCCTTGAGAAAAAGGCACTGGCCGCCTGGTGCTGGACTTACAGGCACTTGTGAGCTGTCTGATGTGGGAGCTGGGAACCAAACTTGAGTCCTACAAGCGCAGCAAGTGCTCCTAATTGCTGACACGTCCTCTCTCCAGCCCCAAGCGACTGTGAAGATACAGACCACACAGCCCAAGCAAGTACAGGGAGGCAGGAGCTGGAGACCAGGGCAGGGAACATGTGGAAGGGGCTGTGGGCTGCCATCCGCCATACTCTCCCATGTCCTCCTCTGAGCCAGCTTACTGTTGGCCACCTCTGGCTCTTCCCTGAACGCTGTGTACCAAGGATGGAGGTCCAGGCCTCTCTGGTCCACTGTCTGCAGCCTCTGTGTCCCCGTTTATTCTTTGTCGGGAGTAAAAACACCTGAGTACAGGTTAGTTCAGACAAACAGACAAACACGGAGGTGGGTACACCAGAGAAGAGGCCAGGATTACATGGTTACTAGTGAAGGGTATCTGCCCCAGCCCATGGAGTCAGGCTTCTCTGGGTCTGTGTGTGTGTGTGTGTGTGTGTGTGTGTGTGTGTGTGTGTGTGTGTGTGTGTGCGCGTGCGCGCAGGCGTGTGTATTCATGTGTGTGCATGTGTAAGCCAGAAGTCAATGTCAGGTGAAGTCCATCTTGTTATTTATTTATTAAGGTCTCATTATGTAGTTCTGGCTGTCCTGGAACTCGATCTGTAGATCAGGCTGGCCCCGAACTCATAGAGATGTGCCTGCCTGTGCCTCCCAAGTGCT